GGGGGGGGCGCGGCGTGGGGGTCCATTTTCCGGGGGTCGGCGCAATCCGGCAGCGTCCTAGCTTCATGCCGCCTGAAATTTGGGTACTTGTTTTGGTCGCGGAGCTACAGACGAATACATACAGGATTGCTTGGACGGCTGCAGGACAAAAGCAGGCGCGCCCGCTGCAGGCGCCACCGCGTCGAGCGAGCGCTCCGGCCTAGGTCTTGGCGCGGCGCCGTGCGCGCGGCTGTGGCCGGCAACGCCCTATAGATGCATCGGCGCCCTCGACCCTCACCTGCTCTATCGCCTTTTCTGTCTGCGCCTGGGCCTCTACCAGCTCGTTGCCAGCCTTGACAAGCTCCTGTCGGTTTGAAATTGAATTGTGATGCACATGAGGAGGACAGTGAGCAAGCAGAAGCAGGGGTGAGGGTGTTGCACACTCCTAGGAAGCTGAGCAAGCACGAATTGGATGCTGCCAGGCATCCGATCATTCCCTGCACTGCAGGGTGTGAGCAGTGTCCTCGACGCACCGCCGACACCGCCCTCAGCAAGTGCCCCTGCACGCAACAAACCCGGCAAGCACACGTGCATCACGAGTGCACATCGCGTAAAGCGACATGCACGTGCACATCCCCACCCCACGCGTGCATCCCCATGCAAGCTCCTGCATGTGCACCTAAACACAACCACACTCAGGAATCCCCCGCACCCACCTCCTCCTTTGCTACCAGCTGCCGCGCCATGGCGTCCAAACGGCCCTGCTCCACTGCCAGTGCTGACTGCAGCTCAACGTTGGCGCCCCCAAGGGCGGTCAGACGCACGTCCTGTCAAAGCAAATGGGGTCGCAGAGCGAGAGCAAGAATTACGGTTTGGCCACCAAGCAAGGGAGTTCTCTCAAGGTGTTGCTTGGATGGCTGTTTTCTTGTGCATGCTGGTGCTGGGATGTCGCTGCAGACCGTGAGGCCGTCCACATCCACGTGGCCCGTCACAACGTGCATTGTTTGTTTTGTCTCTCGTCACGACGCCAACCCCTACTCCATGCCACCTCCCTGGGCGGACACCCACGCGCTCGCGCCCTCTCAGCCGCCCGCGCCCATCCCCACCTGGAAGTTGACGCGGTCTAGGGCTGCGTCGCGCTCAGCGGCCGTCTGCAGGGCGGGGTGCGGCCAGCGGCAGGGGCGCGCCACGTCAGCAAGGGAAGGTGACCAGATAAAGCATTACCAATTAAGCCAGCCCCGCCCCAATACGCCGTTCTCTCCTTGCAAACATCTGCACACCCTTTCAAGGCTTCAAAGCACACTCAAGTGCCAGTAACCACCAACATTGCCCAGGAGCATTGCTCCTCACCACCGCCTACATGGGTACACCCTCAACCTCTCGATCGTGCTGCCCCGCCGGCCGCCCCACCTGCCTCTCCCGCCCCTCCAGCTCCTCCCTGTCGCGCGCCCAGCCCTCTTGCGCCGCCAGCAGCTCCTGCTGCAGCAGCTGCAGCTGGGAGCGCGCCTCTGCCAGCAGCTGCTGGTGGGCCGACACCTGGGGGCGGAGAGGCGGGCGGTGGGACGCGTGCTGAGCAAGTCTCCAACATGTGTCGCACAAAGAGCTGGGCGCAAATGACGCATCTTAGGCTGCCCGAGGCATCATGCTGAGTGGGTGGCAGCGTATGGACTTTGTAGAGCACACTCAGGCCCGCAGCTCTCTTCGCATGAGGCGTTGCCAACAGGCCCACCGCCAGCCGCCAAGGCTCTGCGCCTGGTTGCATCCGTCACTTGCCCGCCGCTCTCGCACGCACCTGCTGCCTCAGCAACGATGAGTCGTGCTGCGCCGCTGCCAGCTGGCTCTCAGCAAACAGGCGCGCCTCTCGCTCAAATTCATCCTGCTGGCCCAGCTCTGTCTTTTCAAATTCTAGGGTTGCCAGCTGTCATGCGGAAGATGGTCGGGGGGTGGCGACAAGAGGCATGAGCATAATTGGTTTTCCGAGGTGGGTGGGCAGAAGCGATTGGGTTGGGGCGCTACGTCGACAGGCAAAGGGGGCGCCGTCATACTGGGCACAAGGTCTGTGGGCAGGGCTGACTTGCTGAGCCTGCATTCAGCAGCTGCACGGCAGGTTCCATGCTTGCATCCAACCCATTTCTAGGGCAAACGGAGCCTCACACCTGTTCTCTCAGCTGCTCGTTTTCGGCCTGCGCCTGCCGCAGCTGCCGCTCAAACCCGGCCGCTTTCTGAGTCATCACCCGCAGCTGCGCCGCTAGCAGCGCGTCCGCCACGCCGTCACCCCCGCCACTGCCGCGTGCGCCGCCGCCGCCGCCGCCACCGGGGCTCCCCCGAGGCGGCGCATATGGGACCGGCGACGCCGCCGCGAGCGGGAGCGGGGCCGCGCGGCCGCCGGAGGGCGGCGCGGCGGGGCTGGCTGTGCTCGCGCTGGGGCTGTTGGCTGCCAGGTTGAGGCACACCTTTTCCAGGTCCTCCCTGGATTTTAGAAAAAGTGCATTGGGGTGATTTGGGTCCGATTCAAAAAGCGCGCCGACAAGCTTCATTGCGCGCTCAAGCTGGGGCGTCTGGCATGGGCATGCTGCAGAGCAAGCAGGCCGGACGGGCGTCGCCCGGCGCGGCATGCACCCGCACGGCTTCCGCAGCCAAGCGCTGGCAGGCAGGGGCTGGCGTTTGTTGGCCGGGGTCCTCCGCAAGCCCGCAGCCATCGGGCACAAAGCTGCGGCCACACAATGGCGGCATGCGTCCGTCGCGACGCGGCGGGTTGGGCCGGCCGGCCGGCCCGGCCCGCACCTGAACATGAACGTGTCCATGTCACGAAGCTCGAAGGGGCTGGCGTCCAGCGGGGCGTTGCGGGCCGCGTCCACGTCAGCGTGGGCGGCCTGAGCCGCCGGCGCAAGGCGGGTCGAGGAAGGGGCGTCGTCACGGGCTGTTTGAGAGCACATGTCGCATGTGGTGGCGTAGCTTTGGGGGCAGGCCCGCGCATGCGGCGAGCCGGGGCTCGCGCGCGTGCATGAGAGGGCACGCCGGACGCCGCACCTGCACAAACGGTGTGCCCGCCAGGCGAGCGTGGTAGACGGCCGAGGGGGACACGCCGGACTGGTCCAGCAGGTTGAGCGTCGGCGTGGGCGGCTGCGTTCGGCGGCGGGGCGGCGGGGTTGAGAGGGCGGGCCCAACGGGACACTGTTTGAGGCGCGGGCAGGCAGAAAGGATCGGTCTCCAGGCTGGGCCAGGGATGGCCAATGGGCCAGGATGGCTGCATGATCTGGGACCTGAAGTGCGACCGGCGGAGCCGCGGCCGGGCGCTGCGAGGGCCGGCGCAGCAGCGGCATGAGCCGCAGGATGCACGAGGGGCGGAATGGAAGCACCAAGGCCCGCGCCGCTGCCGCTACCACCCACCTGGCCGGCGCCGCCCCGCACGGCGTGGCCGCCGCGCGCCGCGCCAGAGCCGCCCAGCGCGAGCGTCGGGCTGGCAGGGGCGGGCGCATGGCCGCCGCGACCTGTGCATGCGCGGGGTGATTTTGAGCGTGGCGAGCGCGGTGCATCATCCATTAGCCAGGCACACAGGGCGCCGACCTGTGCCTCACTGCTTGCAAGGCATGTGGACATGCAGTAACGACTGGAGGCGCGGCAGCCGGGTGCGGCGTGGCCTGTGCCATGACGCGCTCGCACCTGCCGCCCGTCCGCAAAGAGGGCTCGCCGCGGCCCCGACCGCCGGCGACCCGAACGCCGCCGCGCCCGCCCGGGCGGCCGCCACCGCCGCGGCGACCGCCTCGTCCTTCGCCGCGGCCGCGGCCGACGCGCCGGCGCCACTTGGGGAAGGCGTGAAAAAGGGAGACGGCCCCGGGGACGCAGCCGCGAGGCTGCGCAGCCCAGCCGGCGTCAGCGTGGCAGTCGAGACGCCCGGCGACGCGGCGCCCGCCCCGACGCCCGTGCCGGGTGCGGCGGGCGGGCTGCCGCTGGGGGCGCCGCCCGGCGCGGCGGTGCTGGCGGCGGTGCGCCGCCGCTCGGGTGACTCGCCTTGAAGAGAGAGCGCCGCCTGGCGTGGGTCGGGGTTCCGCAAACGCGCGGGAGCCGATTGGACACGCTGTGCGGGTTGTTGTACACTTGAGTTCGATATAGACCATGCATATGGCTCCCTATGAATCAGGACCACCCACGCTTCCAACATGGTCTGGCGCTGAAGCATGCAATCAGCAGAAGCGGTCACACCTGCCCCCTGCCGCACCTGATCCGACCGGCTTGGACTGGCCCCACCCCGCTGCAGGCGCAGCGGGCTTCCGTCGCGCGGCGACGCGCCCCCGCCGCCGACGGACCGCTCGCTGATGCGCGGGCTGCTGCAGAGGGACCCAGGCTCGGAGGGCGCCGCCGCGGGCAGCCACTGGCCCCGCAGGGGGCTCCTGGGGTGAAGACACAGGTGTCAGAGCGCGTCGAATAGGGTCGGCGCACATTGCCCACCCACTGCAGCTTTTCGAGGCGCGACGCAGCATGCACAGGCACATAATACAGCGCGCGCCACCCATCGCACCCCTGGGAGCGCTCACCCAGATGCCTCCGAAAGCGTCGGGCTGCTCAGCCCCATCTCATCCACCGGCACCAGCGCCCCGCCGAGACCTCCAAACCGCCCCTCGTCCCCTGCTGCCCGCTGCCCCTGCAGCCCCTCCCCCTGGGGCTCCTCCAGCATGAGATCACCGCCCGCGGCGCCGAGGGCGAGGAACTCCTCATCCCCGCTGCCGTCAAAGTCGTCGTCGCCAGAAATGCCCAGCAGTAGCTCGCCCCCGCCGCCGCCGCCGCCGCCCGCGGCGACACCCAGCGCGCCGGGCCGCAGCACGAACAGCGGGATGCTCTCGCGCACGCCGCCGGCGCCGGCGCCGCCCGGCGCACCGGCGGCGCTGCGGCGCGTGCGAGCGCTGCTGCGGGCGAACGAGGCGCTCAGGCGGCCCTGGCTGGCGCCGCGCGGGCCGGCGGTGGCCGCGATCTGGGGCTCCTCGCAGATTGGGAGATCTGGTACCAGATCATCCTCCTCGCCCTCGGCAACGCCGTCTTCATCTGCGGTGGCGACCTCGCTCTCTGCCGCCGCCTGCCCTTGCCACGGACCTGACTCCGACTGTTCCGCCGACACCCGCTCCGCCTCCGCAGCGGCAGCCTCTGCTACTGCTGCTGCGTCGGCCGCTGGCAACTCCTGTGCTCTCGTGAGCTTGTCCCGCTCCTCCACAGCGGGTGGCGGGGAGGATGCCTCCTGGGGGCTGCCTGCCGCCTCACAGCTGCGCCCGGGCCTATCCAGGGTATCGAACGCCGCGCACGACGAGGCGCCGCCCGGCGATGCCACCACCGGGGACTCTGAGGAGGCGAGCGCCGGCGCCCGGGAAGCCGCACATGATAGCCGGGCGTTGGACGCAGGCGCGGCGCCGGCGAGCTGTTCGAGCGCGTCGTCGTCTGCACCAGCTGGCTGGCCGCTGGCCGCGCTGGGGGCCGTGCCTGCCGCCCCAGGCACGGCATCCTCGCCCGACTTGCGCCCCTGAGGGCGCCATGCCGCGACAGGCGTCGCCGCAGCTGCCGCCGCCGCCTCCTGCAGCATCTGTGGATGCACAGCTGGCTGTGCGCCCGCGTCCTCCGCTCCCGTCCATGCGGTTGCAGCCGCTGGCCCCGGCGCGCTTGCCGCTGCCTCACGCTCTTGGCGGCCCTGTTCCGGCTCATCTGCCTGCTGCTGCTCCTGCTGCGGCGCATCGCCGTCCTCTTGCTGCTGCGCTTGCCCTGCGTCGCGCGGCAGCAGCAGCTGGGCAGCTGCAGCTGCCTCCGCCTCTGGTGAGGTGCTGCGGGAGCCGACCGCTGAATCCATGGGGGCTACCGCCGATGCCGGCTTCTCCTGCCCGCCCTCCGCATGCTCTGCTGCCGCCGCAATAAGCTCGGCCTCCTCCACCACCTCAGCCTCGGCCGTTGCATCGGTCTCCGCCTCCGCCGCCGCCAGCGTCGTGGCCGGCGCAGGCTCGTCTTGAGCAACCGGGGTCTCCTCCTCACCTGCTGCCTGATTGACCGCCGGCTCCACGTCAGCGGCTGTCAGGGTTCCGACGGCTGCAGGTCCCTGGTCCTCTGGGTGCGCCTGCTGTGCTGGCATATAGTCTGAAAGCACTATTCCAGAGGCGGCTTCGACATCACCAGTTTCTGGTGCTGCCTGCGGCTCCAGCCCAGCTGCGGCACTGGTCTGCTTCTGGCCTGCTGCGTCTGCACCTGCCAGCTCCTGCGCTGTTGACTGCACCATCGCCGCCGCCTGATCGTGCCGCTGCTCGGGCGCCCGGGCCGCCGACAGGGGGCGCGGCGCCCGCGGCGCCTCAGCCGCCGCCGCCTCCTGCTCCTGAACCGCTGGCTGCTCTGCCGTAGGGACTGCATGCGCTGCACCTTTTGGAGCGTCCGAAGCGGCCGCCTTCCTGTCAGAGCCCTCTGCCTCCTCGTCAGCTACTGCTGCGCAGGGCTTGGGCGGTGCAATGGAGCCGGCAGACCCAGCCTCTGCCGGCCCTGTCTCCGCGGACTCAGCAGAAGCCTCTGCCTCAGCTTCGGCCAGCTGCGCCACTACTGGAGAGGCCGCAGCCTCTGGCACGCAGTCGCCCACCGCCTCAGTCTGAGCCACTTCTACTGTTGCTGGAGAAGCCTCAATCGCTGCAGCAGGCGGCATGGGGCTGGTCTGCGCCGCCGTGTCAAGCATGCCAGCCGCCGCTGCACTGGCGGTGTCTAGCCCCGGCGTGCTGCAGGCATCCACGCTGGGGCCCGCCCCAGCTGGGCCTGCTGCCGCCGCATCAACACAAGCGCCAGCGAGGCCAGTCGCTGCGTCTTGCACACCGTCGCCAGCCGCCGCCGTGTCTGCTGCTGCTGTCGCTGCGCCACCGGGCACATGGCTCCCAGCGGCTGTTGCTGCGCCCTGACTGGCCGATGCTGCGTCTGCATTGTCCGTGAGAGCGCAGCGCTGGGGGCTGCCGGCCGCCGGTGCCGCACCCTGCGCGGCCACCGCCGCCCCCACCTCCACCTGGATGTCCTCTGCACTGACGGGCTCCACCTCCGCATCAGACTGCCCGCTCCTCTCGCCGCCAACCGCCCGCTCCGCCGGCTGCGGGTCCTGCACTTGCGGCCGCCGCACTTCCCGGTCATCCCTTGACACGCCCGCAGCGGCGCTCGCGCTGCGCGCGAGCGTCCCCAGATCGTCCCTTGCTTCAGGAAGCTGGTTGCCTGCTGACCCTGGTGCCCCGCCCTCCTGTTGTTCGCCCTCCTCAGGCTGTATCAAAGAAAACGCCACCGCATCCTCTGAAAGCTGCCTGGAGGCGCCGCTATTTGCGGCCGCCGCAGCCGCTGCGCCGGGCCCCAGCGCCACCGTTGCGTCCATCGGGTAGCCGGCGCTCATCAGCAGCGACGCCGGCAGCAGCGCCACTGTCGCATCCGCGCCCTGATACACCTCCTGCCGCTGCCACGCGCCGCCGCCGCCGCCGCCGCCATCCAGGTCAGAGCCAGGCGTCGCGGCCGCGTCAGCTGCGCCTCCGCCCCCAAGGATCTCCTGCATGCCGGGCGTCAAGAGGTACTCAGGCATGGGCTCCATCCCCGCCCTCTCTGCTGGCCCGCAGGGGGGCATGTCTGGGCAGCCCTCAGCAGCGCCGGCGACCAGGGCCTGCGGGCATGCCAGATGTCAGGGCGCTCAGCTGCAATAGATGCACGTGTGGGTATGTACATATGCAGGCATCATCAGCGGTGATCGATTTGTCAAAGGTACTGCTGTATGCGCAGGCACGCATCGCGCTGCCGCGCAAAATGATACCTCCAGTGTGCGCCAGGGCCGGCCCCGCACCTGCCGCAGGTCGAGGGTCTGGTCATAGTACACATGTTGGGGGATAAACGGCGACGATCCGGTGCTGCAGCTGCGGGCAGGGCTATACGAATAGTAGCTCTCGCCGCACGACGCCCCGACCGCGTCCGCACCGCCATGCAGCAGGACGGGCGTGTCTGTGGCGCCAGGCGGCACGCCGACCGCCGCCTCGCCGGCGCTGGCCTGGCTGTCAAGGTCGATGCTGCCGGCGCCGCGCGGCTGCGGCATGTGCCCTCCGCGCAGCTCGGGCGCGCCGGGGCTGCCAGCGCCGCTGCTTGCGTCGCCGCCGCTGGCTGCGCTCGAGCGCCGCCCTTTCTTCATGGTGGACCCGAGCTTGCCCCACAGGTTCCTGAGCTGCTTGGTGGGCGAGCGGTACGCTGTCGCCGGCGCCTGCGTGTGTGGCAAGCCCTGCTGCAAGTCCGACGCGGCTGCATCCCTGGCATCTGAGTCCAGCACAAGGGACCGCTCGAGCGAGCGCGACGGCGAGGGCTGCCCGTTGCTTGCGCCACTGCCTGCGCCGCTGCTGCCGCTCTTCAGGTGCAGCAGTCGCTGCATGGCGCCGCCCAATGGGTGTTTGGGCGTGTTGCGCTTGGTGTCGCTCGTGTCCTGGTCGGAGCCTGTTTAGCGTTGGGGTGGGGTGTTCCCGTTCAAGACCTTGGTATGATGCAATAAAAACATATGCCAAGCAATTCACCGTTTGGTGAGGGCTCTGCTGCATGTGTGCGATGTTGGAGTGGACATCGCGCATACACGCCCATTGCCCGCCGCACCTGCATCAGCGCTGCCGCCCGATGCAATGCTCAGCCTAGCGCTGCGCGTTGTGCAGATGGGCTTCAGCTTTGCAGAGCCCTACAACACACCGAAGGCAAGAGGGGTGAGAAATCAAGTTCTCCCGCCAGGCTCTGGATGCAGAGATCTGGGGGAGCTTATTCCGCGCCTTGCGACTTCGTACAAATGTCAGCATTCCTAGCGGCTCTCACCGCGGCTTGCGTGTCGTTTGAGCGTGATCCTGGACCCAGCAAGCCTCCATCGTGGTCCCACTGCGGTTCTATTGCTGCCGCTGGATCATCCATGTGACCTTATTAAGCCAAAGTCTGTGTGGGGCTTGCTTTTTGCACCAGAAAAGCTGGGGATGGATGCCACAGGCCTCAGCTGTCCCACATACCTGCTTGAATTAGGCCGGAGCTGGGCATCCACATAATGCGAAGGGGTTCCAAAGTACTCAAATACCCGATCAAGTTTTGATGGAGTCGAAAGGCACAGCAGCGCACACGCTGGCCCGGGTGACGCACACAAGGAGTGGCGAAGTGAGAACAGCTCAACAGCATTGCTCGAGCATCTGCACCAAAATGGATTAGCCTGTCTGCTCCTCAAAGGAGGCCAAATGACCTTGCATCCAAGGTATTAGGGACTTTGTGAGCACTCCAGAGAGTGAACTGTGCATTGCTTTGCTTGGTTCAACATGATATGACGACACCAGCAGTTCTTCAGTCATTTATTTCAAGCCGAGCGTGTGCGAAGTCCGGAGGATGCACGTGTCTGGTTCCTCAGAATAGTTGGTCTTTATGAAGATAGGTTGAAGGGTATAAGGGTTTTATGACTTATGATTGAACACCACCGCCCTGATGCATGAAGGCATCTGCAGAACCAGGCGCGAGGCACCCCAGGTTTGTGGATGGAAGACGCAACTGCCCGACATGATGCTACGTTTGCAGTATGATGTCAGCAACGGCCATCGTGCTTGGGCGCTCCCCCATTGCATCACCTACCTCATCCTGGCACAACAATCAGCAAAGTAAAAGTGAGCACACCGTGCACCAGACCTGCTGGGGGCCAAACCTTTAGCGGTTGAGCAGAGTGTGCATACCCCCCCTCTGACCTGGCGTATACAGTTGAAATCAACTTCTCATTTGCCGGTTGACTCTCTCACTTGTCCTGACTTCTAGCAAGGTCACCAAAGTTGAGAGTGGGCAGCAACAAAAATAATGCTTACAGCGGGTTGGTAGGCAACAAACGGCCACAAGCACAATCTCCAGGGTCAAAGCATGCCAAGCAGCGGAATTGACAAAAACAGAATTGTGTGTGGGGCCAGAGGGTACGTTGCAAGGCATAGGGACATGGTCATGCGTCACCGACGCAACTTGCGTCGAAAGGGACGGGTCGTTGCAGGGGCACCTGGCGCACGACGCGTCTTGGCGGGCGCGGGGCGTCCGCCGCAGCCCGACCAGCCTTCAGGCAGGGCCCCTTCCCGCACCTCAAGGCGGCGCTGTGCGGCCCCCAGCGGCCAGGGTCCGTGCCCAGCCGGTTGCGGGTTGCGCACTGCTCAGCATTTGCAAGGCGGGCGGCCCCCCTATCATGGAAAACAGGTGGTCCAGCAGCCCAGGGGTGCGCCTCTGGATGGTCACCTCGCCATCCTCCGCCGCCTTCTGCGCCGCGACTTGGTAGGGCTGGCACTCGGTCTTGTGGCCGCCCAGCCAGTGCTTGCGCTGGCTGCGAGGCGCACGCAGTTGCGTTCGCGCACAGAGGCGGGGGGGGGGGCGTTGTGATTTGTGCATTAAGTTTCAGCACGTGTCGCCTCGCGCGTTCCATTCCCTGCTGCAATTTCGATGCCGGTTGCCGTCGTCACCTTGTCGCCTTGCCTGGGCGCAGCTGTTCGGCCCCGCATGATGGACATGAGCTCACCAGGCTTGGCCGCAGTACTGCACTGCCTGGCAGCCACTGCAGCTGCTCAGGGCCTTCTTGCCCTTGCCTGCACCCGGCTTGCCGCATGCACAGCAGCGCGGCGGCCCGCCCGTCGCAGCCGCCCTGCGCTCTTTTGGGAGCCGCTTGCCGCCATTCTTGCCCTGTGGGTCTCTGCCGGTGCCCTTTCGACCGCGGCATGGCTGCGCACCCGGCCCAGAGCTGGGCGCCATCAGAATGGCCAGTGCCGCCTCAGCGTAGCCACGGCTCGGGCCACTGCGGCCGCTGGCACCTATGGCGGCCTGCTGCTGGGTGCCGCCGTAGGTGTCTCCGATGTCAATGCACCGCGACAGGATGCCAGGGAGCCGCGGCGCCCCGCGCAAGAGGAGTGTGCGTCCCGGGGCCCCGCACGTGGTGAGGACAGAGTGCGCGATGCCCGCCACCGCCCTTTGCACCCAGAAATCATCATAGCAGATGCACAGCGCAAGGGAGTCTTGCAGCGCGGGCGCCAGGCCGGGCGTGCTCGCGATCCGGAAGACGCGAGGTGCATCGCCGGCAACGGCCGCGGCGCGGCACAGGTGCTCAACGATCACGAGGCACGAGGCGCGCAGCTTGAATTGAGTCTGTGGGCTCACTGGCCCGTACTGCGTGTCCGGCGACCAGCGAGAGAAGTCGCGGGGAGCCGGGCCGCCTGGGATATATGTCGGCAGCGGGACTTGCACCAGCGGCCCGATCGTCGAGGCGAGCAGCTGCGCGCCGCACACCCTTGCGCCAACTTCGGTGGCGGACAGCACGGCGGCGGCGCGCGGCTCTGCGCGCACGAGGGTGGCAAGGAGCAGCAGAGAAGCCTCGCGCTCTGAGAACGCCGCCATGCCGGCGGCACCCGTAGGCACGCGCCGGCACGCGGCGGAGACGAGCGCCGGCACCAAGATGTCAGGAAATCGCTGAAAGACGGAGCATACACGCGCCTCGGGATGTTCCTTCAAGCATATGTTGTGGAGAGCTACGCACGCGGCCATTGGCAGGGTGTCCGCCTCGCCCTGGGGTGCCTGTGGCGCTGTGCCCCTGCCTGCAAGGACCAACAGCTGCTGCAGCAGCGGGCCGCATGCCAAGGCGCGGTCGGCAGCGCCGGTGTCATGCCCGGCCACCTCCAAGACCACCTGCAGCGCGAGGCTCTCTGAAGGCGCACCCTCGCCCTTGCCCTCGCCGCAGTCGGTGGCGTGGGTGATGGCCACGGCAAGGGCGTCGAAGACCATGGGGCATGCGCCTATGGTGGCTGAGACGGCTGCGCTGTCCGCCCCAATCTTGGGTGAGAGCGGGCCCGGGAGGCACAGCGTTAGTAGCAGGGCCACTGCATTGCACAGAAGGCCCTGGGCTTCCTTCCCTGGGGATGTGGCTGCGCCGCACAAAGCACCCACCACTGCCTCCACAAAGGGCCTGCGGCGGCCGATATTGCCTGCCTGCTCCGGGTAAAGCCCGAGCACCGTCTGCAGCATCCCCAGCATCGGGCCTGACTTGGTGGCGTTGCCAAGCGAGTCTGCCGATGCAGGGTTTGCATGCTGTTGCTGCTGCTGCTGCTGCTGCTGCTGCTGCTGCTGTGGCGGTGGCAACGGTGGAGGCGGCTGCTTCTGCCCTGGCTCTGACTGGATAGCTTGCTGCACCATGCTGGCCATCACGTCAATGGCGGCAGACGGGTCTGGCCGCTCCGCCGCAAGCCGTTCCTTGCCGCAGGGATCAGCATGCAGCGCCATGAATACGCCGCATGCCAAGCAGTAGCAGGCCTTTCCCTGGACACCGGCTCCTTCCAGCGCACGCCACAGCTCCCTGCAACACCAGGGCGGGTTTGGAGGCCAGCGCGTGTCTGTCCAACATCCTGTGCAGCACCTACACAGGTTTATGGACCGGAGTGCTTTGAGGCGCCATGCACCAAATGCCAAGTGTGCATGGAGTCCTCACCTGATCAGGAGCTTGTGCCTCAGCACCATGCCGCGGTATCTGGGGCTGGCATGGTTGCCGAGGGACAGCATCAACATGTGAAGGGATGCTTGCGCCGCAGCGTTGGGTGGCGAGCGCTGGTCAAGCTGCTGCAGCAGCTCGGCAAAGCCGTCGAGGTGGCGTGACTTGAGTACCACTGAAGCTGGGAATAAGATGAATGTCGCCATAGTTTTTTGAGCTTCTTCATTGTCGCCGCGCTCCAACGCTGCAAGTAGGGCGTCCACTCCCACCAAGACGCCGCAGGGGGTGCTGCTGCTTGTGCTGCTGATTGCCGGAGCGCTGAGGAAGCTGCTGATCCAATTCATTACTTAGGCCCACGAAATGCGCTCTTTGTGGCGCAAGGATGTGTTTTGATCAGCGCGCGCTGTTCTTTGAGTTGATCTGTGACCAGCAAGGCCGCTCACAAGCACACACAATGCTCTTGGAAATGCACTTCAACACACGCATAAATACATACGGTGCTGGGAAGCCGATCAGGTCTCACAGCGTGGCCGGCAGCTGAGGCGTTGCAAGCAAGTCACTGACGCCCTGCAAGAACTTTCTGTGGCAAATCATCCTGTACACGATCGAACTAATCTACTAGGTCCTGAATGACAAAAATCACATGTCGAATTGCAACTTTGGCGTTGCCACCTTCTCAGCTACGGTACTGTATGACTCGCATGAACGCATATTGCGGCTCAGTTGCAGGCCGGTGGGTGCATTCCAGTGCTTTGCCCCCTGTGCATCAGCAAACAACATGCACAAAGACCACAAATACACGATTTCGTGCCTGGAATTGATATGCATCAGGGGCAGGAGCACATGCTTTGGGTGCGACTGCCTGCGATCCTTTGGGGCGGGGGTGCAAAGCGGACACCCAAACATCAGATTGACTGGGTAAGTGGGCGGGGGAAGGGGGGCCAAGTGGAATGGCCCGCTTTAGTCCAAACACCTTCATCAGCGTCACTTTCGTTGGGTACAGGGGCGCGACGCCAGGTCGGGCCGGCGTGCCCCACCCGCGGCCGCGCCCCGCCGCCCCCGCCGCATCCGGCGCGCGCCTCCTCGAACCCAAAAGGCAACAGACCGGGAGCGGCGGAGGGCCCGGGCGGCGCCATGCAGCGGGCGCGCGATATCAATAAAATCCCTACATGGGATAGTATACACCAAGCCTGTACAATGAAACCTGTGATGAAGGGAGGTGTGGGGGAGATTTGCCTCACGGCAGCTGCATTTGTCCTGACAAGCAGCAATGCATGGCGTAAATCAAGTCATTGAGGGCTTGCATATCTTCTGCTCGTGAATGCCCTTGCATGCGCCACACGAACCTGAATATAATTTGGACTTATCGTGGATTGATAGTAAGTGCCACAGCGTAAAATGCACTTGCTCTCATGAGGCAAGATGTCTCGGGCAGCCGTTAGTGTGCAGAGGCTGGGCGTGCAATTGCATCCTTTGAGCCCTGCCAGCGCACAGCCAGTTGCCTGATGTACGGTATCCACAGGCCTGCATATCCACGACACATTGGCATCACGCCTGATGACCAAGTAATTTAGAATAGTTGAAGGGCATCAGCCTTACCATACGGCATGCAACAATCCCTGGGGGCTGAGCTGGTGTGCTGACCTTCTGACCGTGTCACATGTGCCCTGCTGGCTGCCGCTTATTGGCCTACGGGATCCAGTGCTTTGGCACTGAGATTTGTGTGTAATAAGCTTGGGTGTCTGCTGTCCTGTGAGTCCAGACATACATGCCCACCAGCGTGATCTGCTGTGTCTGAGCTCCAGGCTCGTGTGACACAACCGCTACTTTCTTACTTTGTACTCCTTGCTCGCGGCGGACGTCGAGGTCTGCAAGGCTAGCAGCGGATCTAGCAACTCCGAGCCTTTTTTATAGCTGCAGTTGCGACCACCGCAAGGTGCATCAAGGGATATCTGGACTCTACACGTGCTGCCATGTTTCCTGCGTGGCCATGGAGTCGTGGGTTCTCGCTGCAAGTGGTGCCGGTGTCGAGTGCTTGCGCCGCTCGGCGCTTGCTGCACTGCAGGTGCCTGCACGGGGACGTGTTCCAGCCTGAAAGCTCGGTGTTGCCTTCTTGCTCCGCCACCCTGCAGGCTCGCACCGGCCCTTGCGCCACGCCCCGCGGCCGCGCGGGGGCGAGTCGGCACCCCCGGCAGAGGGCGGCTCTCAGGGACGGCGTCGCCGCGCTGGACACATAAAATAAGCAGCCATGGACCACCGCGTCATAGGCAACATGGTATTCTTTACCCAGCAGGAGCTCGAGGATTCGCCCTCGCGTAGAGACGGCGTAAGCGTAGAGGAGGAGGGCGCGCTCCGGCGGGCGGCGCAGCAGATCATCATCGACGTCTGCCAGTCAATGCATGTGTGAGCGCCCAGGATGCCATAACCAAATCGTCCATTTGACTTGGATAGGCCGACTGAGCGCGCGAGGCCGGGGTTCGCCAGGCAGGGGGCGGGCACGTTGCAGACGCGCTGTTTTGCAGTCTGTGCACACGACACATGTGACTGAGTTTGTGCACATGACACAGGTGACTGCGCCATACAACATGGGTGATTAACCCGAAGGTGTTGATCACCTGCTGAAGTCTGCACCGCCTGAAAACATCAGCTCTCACTGCGCCATCGGCACCCGCGGCCCGCACCGGCCCGCAGCCATGTGCAGTACGCTTACGTGGCGGTGTACCTGTGCCTGCGGTACTTTGCGGTCAAGTCCTGGAAGAGGAACGACCGATGGGTGGGTGACGGGTGACGCACATGTCTGTGTAAACCTTGCCGGTGTGTTGTGCCTGCAGCAAAGCTCCTTGCACGGAGGCGGTTGGGTGTCATGTTCGGTGGCAGCTGCGGCGTATCGACACGGCCGACTTGGGTGGCACTGCAAGAGACGCTCCCTTGCAGCAGGTAGGTATGAGGCTGAAAGCCCGCTCATGCTGCCCTGCTCGAGGCTGCGCCGCGGCCTCGTCCCCTCGCCACCCCTCCCAATCCCATCAGCTCCCACCCCTCCCAACCTCTCTCAACCCTGCCTCCTCTGCGCCCCACCAAACAAACCTTCAGCTCATCATGCCGGCGGCGCTGTCCCTGGCCCTGAAGATGCGCGAGTCTCCGAAGCCCGTGGTCCACATCATATCAGAGTTTGAGCGGCGGCGGTGGCGCGAGTACGAGCGCGCGCGGCCGACGGAGCCGCGGCGGTCGCACGACAAGGTGCACGGCGGGGGGCGGGCGGCGCAGGAG